GGAGCAAAAGAGGCAATTGCCCTGGGGCCTGGCCATTCGGGCAAAACAGTCACAGGAGAGCCAGATGCCACTCTGCACAGCTTTCAGGGCTTGGGGGGACCCAGTACTGCAGCGCTAAGTGCTGACTGCCCTCAGCCCCACCTTTTCCAGGAGTGGAGAGCTGACCCATCCCCACGTTGCCCCAGGGCCTGTGGCAGCTGTCAACTCCATTGGGTGCAGAAGTGGGATGGCAGGAGGAGGGTGCAGAGGAGCAGGCTGCCTGTCCAGCTGTCTGAGAGGGTGCAGGTGCCAGGGAGGATGCAGGAATAGGCTGGAGATGCAGGGGTCTCGGCAGAGCGGTGCATGAGGGAAATGGAGATGTAGAGTCTGGGCATGAGGAGGATGGGGTGGCACTTACCTGGCTTCATGCACCCCACTCCTCCCAGGCACCACATCCCAGGCATCACCTCCAACTGCTCCCATTTGCCATGACTCTTGGTCAATGGAAGCAGTGGAAAAAGCCGCCAGGCAGCACTTCCATGAGCTGCTGTTTCTCTAGAGCCAAATCCATCTCGCAAGGCTTGGGACACTCCCACCCCGCAGCGGGAAGCTAGCGCTGGTGTTCTAACCTTACATGGGGATGCCGCACTGAAGTGCCAGTGCGAGCTCCCTGCTGCAAGGGAGGACTCAGCCTCCAGCCGTGGCCTACCTACAAGCCAGTCATGGACCACTAGTGGTCCACAGTTCACATTTTGAGAACAAGTCTGCGCACCTATTGACCTAAGATCCAGCTTATGATACGTTACTAAACAAGCTGTAGTGGTGACTTAAGAATTGCACATACTGCAACTATATAAGCTACATTGGAGCTTAGAATACAGCTATTTTTGAGCACAACAACAACTTATTAGCAGGTAATAGATAAATCTGCCAAAAGCCAGCCTAACTACCTAGGTATTTACACAAGATTCATCATAATAGTATCTGAGTGCCTCACTATTAAATATTGACCAATTTTTCCTTTTCATATAAAATGACAGAGAAGCATTCAGATTAACATTATATTTTGTGGGGTTCTTTATTAAAAACAATTGTTATTGTCAGAAATCTGAGGCACAAAGATGGGTATTATTACATATAAATAGGTAATAAATATTGAGCTTGCCATTTAAAAGTCAATGTGAACCAAACTGTGGCATTTAAGACACCACAGAATTTCTTTACACTTGAAAGAGGGATTACTTACCATCAGGGCTGGCCTGAGCCATTTGTGCGCCCTGGGCCCCGGGAGCACAGTGCTGCCCCCAGGAGTAAGACGCATGTGTGGCCCCACCCCTAGCGCATGTGTGGTGCTTCCCCGGGCGCGCAGAGCATGCGCGGTACCACCTCCGCCCGTCCCAGTAGCCTCGCATGGCGCCCCCTACAATGGGGTGCCCCGGGTGGTAGCCTGGTCAGCCCGTAGCTTGGGCTGGCTCTGCTTACCATATCTAAGACTTCATATCTTGAGTAACTTGTTAATGGCTTTCCATTAAGCACAGAAAATATGTTTTGTCCCATTGAAACAGGGGGGAAATATTTTATTAGGTTATGTTTTTTTACTTCATTTTTCTCAAAACAAGCAAAAATGGAAAAGAGAGAGAGAGAAAGAGAGCAAGAGAGAAAGAGAGAGGAGGGAGGGAGGGAGACAGAACAAAGCTATAGCTCGTTGGGGGGAGGTTGTTGTATATATGACACTAAAGAATTTAAGACCCCACACCAGAATAATACAAATGCTGTAAACTCTATAGCTAAAATAAAGAGATAAGAATCAAATTATTTTGGCATAAGAGTTTGTTGTGCCACATAACCTGAGAAGTGAAAAATATCTTTTTTACTTCTCACAATTTTATTTCAGAAATATTGCTCCCCTGGTCCCAAAAGGGAACATGAACATTTTATGTATTTCATTGTTATTACAGAGAGAGGTAGATTGCTTTGTATATATACATGGTACCTGGATCCAGCCCAGGGGAGGGGAGGAAAGGGAGTAGTCCTTCTGCCAGTGCATCCTGAGCTAGCCCAGGACCACATGGGAGGGCACCCTAGGATAATGGGGGGAGGACGCCTAGCCCAGGCTTTGGGAAGGGAGGCCCACTTGGGAACTGAGATTGAGGAGCAGGGCCTAGAGCTGGGGTTTGGGGAGGGTAGGTGTCCCCCAGCAGCATTCCCCAGGGCCAAAGGCATGAAGGGAATGCGGATCCTTGCAGACCTCTCCACTAGTGCTTACCTGGTGCCTGTTACCTGAGGGTTTACAGGCCTTGCCTGGCAGTGCTCCCCACACCTGCCCCGGGGTGAAAGGGTAGGGGGTGCCACAGATCTCCCCCGATGCTCCCTGGTCTAACAGGAGGGAGAAGGGGAGCTATGGAAGCTGGCCCACAGCTGGGTCCTATGGGGGCATCTGGGGCTGGGCTGGCTGGCCCCAGTGGTGCCCCTGGGGGTGGGAGTGCAGTGATGGGGGGATGGGTTTAGCCAGGGAGGCCACTTACCAGTGTCAGACAAGATGGTGGAGCCCCATTCCTAGCTAGCAACTCTGTTGGTAGTGTGGCTGCCCCCAGTGATCACTCTGCAGGATAGCTCTCCCCTGCACTCACTGGCCCTAGAATGAGGATCGCATCCCTCCTCTCTCTCCCCGTTATGGAAAACTATCAATTTCCAGACACAATCCATTTTCCTGGCACAGCCAAATTCTGACCTTGCTTTAGGATAAGAGGAAGCTCTTAGGATAAGTTAGGATAAGAGGAAGCTCTTACTGCAGTGGTTTTCTAACTTTTTTCTGGTGATAAAATTGAAGAAAATTGTTGATGCCTGAGGCCCAGCAGAGTTGGAGATAAGGACTACGGGGGTGCAGAAGAGAGCTTAGGACAGGGGCAAAGAGCAGGGGTGCAGCGATGAGGGCAGTAGGGTGGGGTTGGGGATGAGGGTTTCATGGTTTAGGAGGGTCTCTGGGCTGGGGTTGGGGTGCAGGACAGGGTGAGAGCTGGTGATGCAGGCTATGAGATAGAGCCATGGATGAGGGATTTAGGATACAGGAGACTCTGGGTTTGGGAAGGTCTGGGGCTGGAGCAGGGGACTGGGACACGGGCTTTCCTCCCATGACTTCTCATCAGCAGGAGTATGTGAAGGCAGGCTTCTTCCCTGTCTTGGCACCATGGACCACTCTGTGCCCCAGAAGCGGCCAGCAACAGGTCCAGCTGCTGAGCACAGGCATGCAAGCAGCTACACACAGCTCTCACCTGCAGACACTGACCTTCCTCAGCTCCCATTGGCTGGTTTCTGGTCAAAGGGAATGTGAAGCCAGTGCTCATGACAGGTGCAGTAGGGTGATCCCTGTGGCCTTACTAGCTAGGAGCCGGACCCACTTCTGAGGCACAGCAGGGTGTCAGAACAGGTAGGGATTGGCCAAGGGCTTCCTCAGCTCCCATTGGCTGGTTTCTGGTCAAAGGGAATGTGAAGCCAGTGCTCATGACAGGTGCAGTAGGGTGATCCCTGTGGCCTTACTAGCTAGGAGCCGGACCCACTTCTGAGGCACAGCAGGGTGTCAGAACAGGTAGGGATTGGCCAAGGGTTTTCAAAGTGTGGATTGTGACCCAGGCTTAGCTGGCCATCAGGGTCCCTGGGTGCTGAGCAAGACCACCCAGTGCCTTACATTCAATGACCCAGTACTGAGTGATAACTCACACATTGAAAACCACTGTCTTAACATACAGGAGGAGTACCTGAACTAACGGACCCGCAGATAGACACAAAGTCAGACAGAAACCTCTAAAATACACATCTATATAGAAGAGTGAAATCAAACCTCAGCCTAGATCATTTAAGTCTGTCATTTCAATATTTTGCCTCAGCAGAGCATTCAAAGTGACCAAAACAGTGGATCTACTCAGTATACACTTCACTGCATCCATGGTTAGAAATATCCTCTTGAGATATGACTACTGTACATTTATCCATTCAGAGAGCAGGATTTCCTGATCTTAGGTTATAACTCCATTTACACTGTATGTCAAACAATTCTGGAAGAATCAATCAGCCTTTAAATAAAACACAATGTTGTTGTCCAAAAAACCAAATCTTATATATAAAATGTCTAAGAACAGAATTTCCAGCCTACTCATTTTCTCTAGGCTACAAACACAAACATTTTAACCATTTACTATGAATTCCTTTTAGCAAACTGATGGTTTTTAGCCACTGGCAATCAAACATAACAGGTAAAACACAAATATATTTAACATACTGCCACAGAAAAATGTACTGTAAATTGAAAATTTATTGGAAATGTTTTTGTACTGGAAACAAGAAAGCAAGAGGGAAGACAACTTACACTGCAGAGATAATGTTCCCTTCAAGTTTATTAAAATGCTACAATCAAATGTGCCTTTAAAGCATCCACAAGAGCTTAATTTCTCACGTGTTATTTTTATAGAATAATACAAAATTAGGGAAGTGACCTCAGGAGGTCACCTCATCCAACCCCCTGCTCAAACATGAAACATTTTACCTCATGGCCATTTTTCTGGATGCTTCATATCACACTGCTCTCTGTAATCATATTCTACTATTGCATATGTTCCAGACAAAGGAAGCATCACAGCAGTCAGGAAGCAAGTGGGCCTAGTGATGTGAGAGGTGCATGAGCAGCACATCTATACTAATAAATGCAAAGAGGAGTTAGAAAAAGGGACAGAGGACTAAACAGAAAGGATAAATAGCCTGGAAGAAGGGAGAAAGTATGTGGATGATGAGAGAAAAGGGAATAGTAAAAGTACAAAAGCAGCAAGAGAGAAAAGTCATATCCCATATTCAGGGTCAGTTTTAAGGTTTGTTGAACATTTTCTATTAAAATGTTTTTTTGATGGATAGTTAGGTTTTCAATTAAATGAAATCTTTTGGTGGTGAAAAATATCTGATTTCCATGGAAATGCTCAATTTTTGGTTAAAAAAAGTCCCAAAACCAAATTATTTCAGTTTGGATTTCTTACCTCAGTGCCTTATGGAAGTTGTAAGCAGTTTCCTCGTGTCTCAATTATGTCTGAGCTGGACTTTACGGCTGGACTCCATCTTCCATGATGCACCATGGTCAGGGATCCACATGACGCAACCATCTCCCCAGTTATAAAGAAAGTCCATGTGTGAAATGATAGTCCAACCAGGGAGTCTGGGCTGCATATATGAGAATGAGCACATGAAGCATCTGAACTATAATTTTCATGAAGCACTATAGCAGCATTTCAGAATCAAAACATTTCAGTGTTCAGCTGAAGTATTTTTGTGTTTGATATTTCAGAGAAAAGTAGAAATATATTTTTACATAGATAATTTTAGTGAAAATTATATATTTTTAATTTTCATGAACAAGTTTTATCAAGAGGATGAGGAAAGCACATTGTCCAACCAGCTGTAGTCAGTTCCCAACAGCATCCTATCATCTGGAGATCTAGCTCTCATTATTGTGGTGCTAAGAAGGCAGAAAACCTGAATTTTTAATATTTGTATTCCCAGACAAATTGTCAACCATTTCTGTGGCAAATTAATCATCATTTTTTGTGGGATACAAATTTTAAAAAATGATCCAAGAATACAAGTGACCTAACCAAAGTCAATACATTCTCTTTTACTTTAGTAGGGCTAGTATTTCAACTGAAACATTTACTTCCAATATATCTTGTGAAAAAGTGGTTTGTTTATTAGCTGCTTTTGCTAGCAGTGTAAATTATTTTGACACAGTCTTGCTGAAAATGTTACCCTATAAGTGAACCCTAAATCTTAAATGTACTTGGAAAATGCACTTGAAAACAATAATCTTAATCCCAACAAATGAGTTCTTATATTAATTTATTAATTTGGTCTTTTTTAAAAAAAACACTTGATTCTGGAATCTGAGTGTATTATTTTGAGAGATGCTGTTGGCCCTGATTCAGAAAGAGACATTGAAAATGTGCTTACTCCTAAACTCACTAGCAGTTGCACTGAAACCAATGTAATTATTCATGTGGTTAGACACAAGCTAAAAAACTTTCCTGAAAGTGAAAGTGACAATGAAATCTCTAAAAATATTTACAATTTCTGTGTCTTGAGGATAACATTGTATAGTTTAATATAAAGACTTAACAACATTATGAATTGATTGTAAATATGTACATGAAAATTATCTAGGTATATGCATCCATATTTGAGGCTGAGCAATGTTTCTAACGTACAAAGATCTAAGGCCATGCCTTCACTATGGGGTAGATTGATGCTGCCACAATCAATCTTCTGGAGTTCATTTTAGTGGATCTAATAAAGACCCACTAAATCGAACTTGGAAAGTGTCCCTGCTGGCGCTGATACTTCTGCTCCTCATAAGGACTAAGGGAAGCCAATGAAAGCATTAGCTCCCATTGGGCTCCCGCTGTGGAGACCATGAAGAAACTCAAATTAAGGTATGCCAACTCCAGCTATTCTAATTTACATAGCTGGCGTTGCATATCTTAATTCAACCTTTCCCTTTAACAGAGACCTGGCCTAACAGTATCTCTTTGTGAGAAAGATTTTGTGTTTGGGATTATGGACGGAAGACTAGAATTATGTTGGGTCATAATTATGGTGGTTGTTTGGGGAGATAATATACTTTTAAAAATAGGTATTAAAATGTAGTGGACTAGATCCTTAGCTGATATTGGGTAGGCTCATCCACCTTCCCTCTCATGGGCAGCCGAACCCTAGGATTTAACTCAGTGCTTTGAACTTCGACCCCTCCCGCTAACAAGCTATTAAATGTGACATTACCCAATTCTCTGTCAGCCTACATCTAGTTTCCCCTGTTGTCCTTGCTTAGAGGGTAAGGAACCTGATACTTTTACCAGAAAGCAGATCTATTTGTCTCAGGCTTTAGGACACTAAGATTTTTCACAGCCTGCAGCAAGAACATATCTCTATCCATCACCATGAGAAAATCAATCTAAAGGACATGTCTTTGTGCAGGCCTGTACATAGGGGGTGGGGAGAGGGGCAGAGGGGAAGAGTGCAAAGGGTGCAAAAGTACCCCCTATGGTCCACCAAGTAAGCGTGCTCCGGCATGCCTGGGGAAGGCAGGCGCAGCATGCTGCCCGAGTTTCCATCCCCCATGCTCCGGCCGACCAGGGGAAGGCTAGGTCTGATTTACCCACTTACTTGGGGGGATGCATGCACACCCTTGCAGTCCACGTTTAGAAAAAAGAACCCTCACACACAGAAAAATTCCTACATACAGGCCTGTTATGTCATCCACCAGCCCAAACCCTGATTATCAGTGATCTAGGACCCAGAAGCACCAGAACACACAGTTGTTTTTCCACACACTTACGGGTTAATAGCTTGCTAGCTTGTCAGTGATTGGCTTTTCAGAAAAAGGATGGACTTCCCAGAAAAGGCTAAAAACATGCGTCCTTTAGAGTTATCAATATCCTGACTTCTCAAAAAAGGTATTTATAATCTCACTGGCAAAATACAAAGTAGAACTGTGTGGGAAATGGGTTTCCAGTCCCATGAACATTTTCGAAGATTTTCAAAATTTTTCAAAATGCATAAGGGTGAAACTGAAAATTTTTTAAAAGCCCAAACCTCACAGAGAGTGATTAACCTCCCCGCCCTCCACACACACACACGACTACTCCAAGTATTAGGCAACTAGCTATTCTGGGATCTCTGGGGGGAGTTTCTCTCTCTCTCTCTCTCACTCCCTGTAGCCCTGAAACTTTGTAACTAATAAGTCAGTTAGTTATAATGAATGTATGTTATAGCAAAAGGTTTGTATTAAACTTAAATACAAGATGTAGGCCTTAGACAGACAAGGCAGCTTTGTTAACTTAGCTCCAGTTCTGTTTGGGTATGTCTACACTTGCATCCTAGTTCTAACTAGGGATGTAAAGGCAGGCATTTGAAATAGTCAATGAAGCGGGGATTTAAATTTCCCGCACTTCATTAGCATGATCTCACCGGCATGTTACTCTGGTCAACAGCTGTTTCGAAAGTAAAAGTGCGCGCCGGGATGCATTAGTTCAAACTAAACCCATTTTTTGAGGAGTAACGTTAGTTCAAACCAAACCCCTTGGTTCGAACTAACGTGTCCCGACACACACTTTCACTTTCGAAACAACTGTTGATCGGAGTAACGTGCCGGCAAGATCACGCTAATGAAGCACTGGATATTTAAATCCCTACTTCATTGACTATTTTGAATGCCTACATTTGCATCCCTAGTTTGAACTAGGATGCAAGTGTAAACATACCCTTTGATGTTAGCATGTTCTGATGTTAAAGTGAAGGGATGAAATATTGTAATGCATAGTGATGTTAATATTAGGTAAGGCCTTATAGTAGATAGAAAGAAGTTTAATGTTGAAAGACTTTGTAACTTTGTTAAAGTGACCAGAAGTACCCCTTTGTTCCATGTTGCAATTCTGTAAATTTATTGTTTGTGTGAATGAGAGAGAGAATGTTTTAGGAGAGATAAGTGTGAGGGTCACCGCATGCCCAAATGGTCAGAGAAGGTGCCGGAAACTCAGAAGTACCAAATAATTATCAACTAAGTGAAACTGAAGACGCAGAGTACCAGGGCAGATTGATGAACCCTGAAGTTAGTGTCAAGCACCCCTTGATAGGGAACCAATAACGAATTTCACCAGAAGAAAACACCCAAGAGGGGTTGTCAGCATACTGATATCAGATGTCTGTGAGAACAACCTCCAGATAAACATATGTCGCAGAAAAACTGATTGTGATGCTGAATGACTGATTAAGGCCTGACAAGGCAAAATACACAGACTTGCATGGAAGAAAATACCTATAAAAGATGGGGTGTCTTGTATGGTTCTACGGGTTCTGTCCTGCTAAGACCAAGTGGAGCATTAGTTTGGACTGACAAGAACCCAGCTCCTTCCTTGCACCCAACCTATCTGGCCAATAGGTTGGGCCAAGCAACAGACTGGTAACTATTCCACCAGCAGGGGGGTGTGTGTGTATATAAATGCATATGCTATGTTGGTGTATTATCAATAAATGTGGCATGATGCCTTATCTCCTTGAAAAAGGCCCCGCGTTCTTCTTTTAAGCATAACACTCTCTCCAATAATTCCATCTTAGATCCAAGAACCCTTTCACAACAAATGTTTTGTCAAAACAGGAATGCTTCTGTAAAAGAGATTCAGTTTTGTGAAATCAGCAATTTTGGAAGGAAAACCCATTTAGGCAAAAAATTCCCAATCTGTGCAACCTCTAAGTACTTTACCATTTCCACTATTTCTAACAAAAAGGGCCAAGGAACCAAAATACCTGTTATGGTATGAAATTCCCTCAATACAAGCAGAAGGCCGAAAAGTATCAAGGGCCAAAACTCAAATAAACGTACAGTGAAGTAATCATACTTAGGAGAAAAAAGTTTGCAAAAAATATGAAATACTGAGGAAACAATAAATAATTTTAAAACAACAAAAATGTTGTCAAATGCTCAGATTTGTTTGTACATGTATTTTGGGGTAGAATTTATCTAAATTATATTAAACTCTGTCAGCTTGCCTGAAAGCATAACAAACTACATCACAGTGATTGTCAGGAAATAAATTAGTAATGTTAAAATTCAGCAGAGACTCCAAAAGGTGGGGTGATTCCATAAAAATTTTAGATAATCAGATGCATCTTTCATTTTAAAGACATTCATAAAACTGTCACCTGTTTTGTAGAAACACGTGGCGAATGTAAGGAATAAACTGGCACAGTAAAAATTTTAAACTACAATGTGTATGGCACAAAGCCATGTGCAACAATCTGTATCATTTTTTGATTTCTAGATAGCGTATTGCAATAATTGGAGTCATTTATTGGCAGTAGAATCTGCCATCAGTTACAGCAGTATCTGACTGGCAATACTGTATAGTTCAGAATACAAATACAGTTTACAAAAAAAATAAGATTTTAAAATACTACACAGACTTGCCATTAGGGATATGAATGGGCAACTGATTAACCAGTTACCTGTAAGCGTCACCCTTAATGAGTGATGCTTACCAGGTAACAGTCAACCGGTACCTGGGAGCAGCTCCTTGCCTGCAGCCAGCCATGGGCAAAGGGCTACTCCAGCCAGAAACTGGCTGCCAGTCCTATGTAGAGCCCTCGTGCCTACCTTCTCCAAGCTGGTGCACCCCGCTCTGCCACAACCAGGGACTGCTCCAGCTGAACTAGAGCAGCCCCTGGCTGCAGCTGGGGGAAGGCTGCTCCAGCCCAGCTACTGTGCGCGGGGGAGCAACTCCAGCCAAACTGGGCTCGAGTGGTCCTCCCATCCACCCCCTTTTTAATTGGTTAACCAGTTAAACACTACAGCCAAGTGGTTAGCCAATTAAAAGGGATTTTACTTCCCTACTTGCCAGTGAAAAACTCCTAATGTCAACGGCATTCTGGCCAGGGACAGTTTGAGTTTTTGGCCTTGGAATGGTAAAGTGGCAAGGTTAAAATGTTTTCACTAGTGCATCAAATTAATGTTTGACACCACTTACGTGTACAAGGATATTTAAATGTTAGGTGTTATTATTAAATCCAGAAACTGGATTTTAAAAGTTTACAACAGCTACTGCACTTTTTAAAGGGATGTTTCCACTGCACTTATATATCATTTCTCCTTGAAATGAAAAAACTTGCCAGAGCCCATCAGCCAGGCTTCACAAGGAAACTATGAATGCTGGTGCTTCCTACTAATTCCTTCCTTTCCTAGCCACAGTTACTGGAAGGGAGAAGTTACAGGATGTGTCTGTACCCTGAGTCAAGCAGATTATATCTCTTGTACATCACCGCCTCGCCCCCCTTCGCCTCCTGCCGTGGCGCTCGGCTGACTTCTGCACTGCTCAGCCAGGCCACCACGGGGAAGCCCAAATGGCTGCTTGCTGCCCCGTGGCAGCCTGGCTGAACAGCGCAGAAGTCAGCTGAGCGCCATGGCAAGAGGCAACAGTGCCACCCAGAGGGAACAGCCAGCATTTCAGAGTCACAGACTAACAACACTGCCCCCCTTCACCTCCCACCATGGCGCTTGGTTGACTTCTGCACCGCTCAGCCAGGCCACTGCATGGGAGCAAGTGGTGCAAGTGACCGTTTGGACTCCGCGGTCCCCCGAGTGAGAGGCAGGAGGGGGAGGAGAAGAGAAAGAGAGACAGAGAGAGAGGCAGGAGGCAGAGGAGAGCTGAGAGAGAGAGAGAGAGGAAGGTAGTAGAGAGAGCAAGAGAGAGAGTGTGACGGAGCAAGAGACTGGAGGCTCAGGAGAGAAAACCGACGTGGAGGAGAGACCTGAAAATCCCGTCTTATGACGGGCTAATTGGCTAGTTGTTTTATAATGGTTAAAGATTTATAAAGAATATGTTGAACTTTGAACACCTAATGAGAACTTTATCTCCTCTTCAATTTTTTCCTCATTTTAATTGCTTTTCTAGCGGTTTCTTACTACCACATCCATTAACAGTTGCAGGAAATAGGATTAATTTTTGGATAAAATGTAGTCTGCACTACATATATGTCATTACTTTCTTGATATTCAAAATGTACCTTTTCTTGCAACACCAGGAAACTGTCTTTGCCTATGAAATTCACAACAATAAACATATCCAGTAATGGAACCAAAATCACAACCATTTCAAAGAATTTTTTAGAATAAAGGATGTTATTATACAGAGAAACAGAACAGAGGATCAGAATGTAAACTTCTTAATGGCTATCAGGTTTAAAAATCTATTGATGTATTCTGCTAAAGGAATATGAATACATGACATGAACGCACTTACCTTTGCTTGTGAATTCTATTTCTTCCTTTTCTTTCAATGGTTGTTTTCAAACATTGATGTAGATATTTTTTTGAAGCAATGATCCACCTGATATCATTGTTTCTTCTCATCAGATGGTTCATGACAGAAAAATAGTCAAAAATAATGAACCAAAACCAAAGTAACAATCAAATACAGATCTTCAATTAACCAGCAGCAATTTATTAAAAATTTATTGTAACAAATGTGTCTCTATTGTTCCAATATGGAATAAAATTTCAAACCCTTGCAGTCAGTGAAGCATGAAATAACTTGTCAAAAATATAGTCTAAAATATGAATCACACAGAAAAAATAGCCACACTACGCTTGAAAATGTTGAAAAAAATGTGTTTATAAGAACCAAAATTGCTTGGATCATACCTCTGATAAAGTCACTTATCCCCTTAGAGAAGTTTCCGTAATGGCAAGTGTCCTTCTCTTATTTGACTGTTTATAAAGTTCCTCTGAAAATAAGAACATAGGAACAGCCATACTGGGTCAGACCAAAGGTCCATCTAGTACAGTATCCTGTCTGCCAACAGTGGCCAATACCAGATGCCTCAGAGGGAGGGATCACAACAGGTAATCCTCATGTGATCCGTCCCCTGTCTCTCAGTTCCAGAGAAACAGAGGCTAGGGTCACCATTCCTAACCATCCTGGCTAATAGCCTTTGATGGACTTAACCTCCATGAATCTATCTAGCTCTTTTTTGAACCCTGTTAAAGTTCTAGCCTTCACCACATCCTCTGGTAAGGAGTTCCACAGGAGGACTGTGTGCTGAGCGAAGAAAAACTTCCTTTTGTTTATTTTAAACCTGCTGCTTACTAATTTCATTTGGTGACTCCTAATTCTTATATTGTGGGAATAAGTAAATAAGTTTTCCTTATTCACTTTTTCAACACAAGTCATGATTTTATGGACCCTTATCATATCCCCCTTTAGTCTCCTCTTATCTAAGATGAAAAGTCCAAGTCTTTTTAATCTCTCTTCATATGGGACCCTTTCCAAATCCTTAATCATTTTTTTGCCCTTTTCTGAAACTTTTCCAATGCCAATATGTCTCTTTTGAAATGAGGGGACCACATCTGTATGCAGTATTCAAGATGTGGGTGTACCATGGTTTTATATAGAGGAAATACAATATTTTCTGTTTTATTCTCTATCCTTTTTTTAATGACTGCTAACATTCTATTTGCTTTTTTGACTGCCGCTGCACACTGAGTGGATATTTTCAGAGAACTATCCACAATGACTCCAAGATCTTTCTCTTGAGTAGCTGTAGCCAAATTAGTCCCCATCATATTGTATACAGGCAGTCCCCGGGTTACGTACAAGATAGGGACTGTAGGTTTGTTCTTAAGTTGAATCTGTATGTAAGTCGGAACTGGCATCCAGATTCAGCTGCTGCTGAAACTGACCACCAGTTCTGACTTACATACAGATTCAACTTAAGAACCCCAAGTCAGCCCAAGTCAGCTGCTGCTGAAACTGATCAGC